CGATAGAGTGAAGCCGCGGAAGTCGAAGCGCGAAGTGGCGAGGTATATGAGAGGACTTGCCTGCCGCCATCCACTGATCACAGAGACATTTAAACATGTTTTGTTTGGAATAAGCCTGTGCATGTGTAGACTGGAACCCTGGCAGAAATGTTTTTCACTTACCTTCACATCTATTACCTTTGCCAATGTAGAAGTGACAAATAATTTCTTGGGCATCTCATAATCTTTTAAAATTAAAACTGCATAACTCAAATATTTAGCAGTTTACTTTTAAATGCCAAAGTTTCAAATAAACTATAAAACTCGGGCAGAGGAAGGAGTCAAGAAGTTAAGGTGCAGCCCTTCAGAACTGTCCCGAGTGGAGAAAAGAGAATCATGAGGTTGAAAGAAGAGCAGACAAGAAAATAAAAGGGGGGAAAGGATAAGGGGAGAAAGGGAAAGAGAGAAGAGGCCAAGTCTTTACAGTCCCAAGTAGATGTAGAAAGCCAGTTGGGTCAATTCTGACTCATAGTGACCCTATAAGACAAAATAGAACTGCCCCCAGGGGCTTCTGAGACTTTAAATCTTTAAGGGAGCAGTCAGCATCTTCTTCCTCCCACGGAGTGACTGGTGGTTTTGAACCACTGACTTTGAGGTTAGCAGCTCCCTACACCGTCTGGGTTTCCTCTAGAGCCAAGATCTAATTTCACCTCGAAGTTTAGTTTGCTTGAAAATGATTTATCCAGCCCTGGAAAAGTAACACGAGGCTGAGCTATATGCAATGCTCCTGTTCTCTGCTTTTCTAGAGCCTCCCCATCCCTTACAGTTTGCAGCAATTAGATGTGGCCCTAAAGCCTGACACTAGACAATAAAATCCAAATAAATGTCAGCCGCAGGGTTTCTGCAAATTGTTTTGGTGTCCCTTTAAACGCTGATGGTTTCTTACTTCTTCCTAATTCTTTCTGCTCAGTGGAACACAGCTGCGGTCCTTGTAGTTGCCTCCGTTACTTTGCAATCAGCAGGGAAAGGTCAAGAGAATGGCTATGTGTTTGTTCTGACGTTGCTGAGCCACTGAAAGAGCCGTACATCTACCTCCGGGTTTCTTACTCTTTAGGGAAAATAAGTCTTGTGTGTTTAAGGAGCTCTCCTTTGGATTGTCTGTTATTTTCATCCAGGCACAATCAAAATGGATACTTGAGTTATAAGATGGAATAATGAACAATTGAGAATTTTATTAAAATGTATTGACATATACAGGGTGTATACATAAGTGCATGTATATGTATGTGTATGTGTGTTGAACAAATGGGTGTGTTTTGTTTACAATGAGTTTGAAAACACCGAATGTTATACTCTTGTATAGGGGTTTCCCACCCCACTGCTTTACTCGCCCTAACCCCTGCCTCAAAGATACAGCAAGCTGTTGCCATTAACCCCATAACTAGAAAACTCGGCATTGTTCCTACAACGTTTGCATTGATAATGTTAACGACTAGCATTAAAACATTCTTCCATAAATAAGCCTACTTAAACAAAATTTATGCATCAGGAGCAAGTACTTTGCAACATTTGGCAATGAATCACCTATTAAATGTGACCTATTAATATGGAATGGATTGGGAAACATTATTTGCTTGTGTTCTAATCTACATTGCAGTTTATTAACTTTTTCCTTATTTCTTTTCTTTCTTTCCTTCTTTTTGCAGCAGCTGTATTTCTAAAAGCATTCCGTTGACATTGAATTAAGCCAAGCAAAAAACCATGGTCTCCCTTTTCTTATGCCTATGAATAGCTTCCTCGAGTGAACAAGTTTGCTCTGAAATATGTACATGTGGAGCCGTGTTTAGAGTGTGGTCACAACACAACCGAGAAATGTGTGTAACAACACATTGTCAGCGCTGTTGGTTGGTCGAAGTTGACATCCTGTGTCTGTCTGCACCAGCTGTTTTTATCTGCCTACAATCAGTCTGCTTGCACTGCTCTGCCCCCGTGCTCAGTGATTGTGTAGAGTGCAGACGGAGACAGCCCCTTCTCATTTGACGTGGGACAAGATGATCACGGCCAGTTTTGACAAAGTGCTATGTTGCCCTTGATCGCATCGTTTCATAACCTGGGCTCTATTATGTTCCGCGGCCTTTGGTTTCCTCTTCAAAGTGATCCTTTAAGCAGGGCTCTTGAGAATGACTGGGTTTTATGTTTATTGCTGTCCTTTACCTGCTTCGGCAATAGTGTTTTTGGCAGTTATTTGCTTAGACGGTCTTCTTCTGAGGGAGGAGACACTTTTGGTTTGACACAGGATGTCTCCTAGACATGTCAATCTAAAATTTTCTGAAACTGAACTTTTGATTTCTTCCCTGTCTACCATACTAGAAGAGCAGCTCTATCGCCCAGGTCTTCAAGCCAGAAATCCAGGCCTCCTCTTTTTGACACCTTGAGATATGTCTCATCACCCCCCACGCAAATCATCGCCAGGTCCTGCTTCAAACGATCCATTAATCCAGCCACACTACCATTCTGCTGTGCTGTGCTAGGCCAAGCCTCATCACTTTGTGCCCAGACCACTGCAACCAGCATACCCACTTTCAACTATGTGGGTTTTATGATAGCGTTCCCCCCCACAATAGCCAGGCTAGTATTTTCAAAATCAGCTATATCCAATCATGCCTTTACCATGACTATGAATTTTCTAAAGCCAAAGAGATGGCTTTCTGAGATTTTCCCAGCCCACCGCTTTACTCGCCCTAACCCCTGCCTCAAAGATACAGCAAGCTTGTTGCCATTAACCCCATAACTAGAAAACTCAGCATTGGTCCTACAAGTCCCAGGGAAGCTACTCTGCAGAAAAACATGAAGTGTATTTAGAGGCACGTGGTGAGAACAATCAATAAGGAGGAGCAAAGTGGCTAGTGTTCCTCTGTGAACCTAGCTTTGTAGGAAGAAGAAGGGAGAAACTTCTAATGGTGTCACAGAGGTTACTTGCTTGGCTGTGAAATGGAATAGCTGTAGTTCAAACCCACTAGCCGCTCTGTGGGAGGAAAAGGTGGTCGTCTGTGTCCGTGAAGACAAGCACTTTGGAAAGTCTGCCCTGTATGGTTGCCGTGAGGTAGAACAGCCTCCATGGTAACAGGTTTGGTTTATGGGTATCGTGTTGTAGTGCCTAGTAACTTCTGGAGTGAGATAAAATGTGATCTGAGCGCTAAGGAAGGTGCTCATAAAAAATTAGAAAAAGGACAAAGTGTAATCCCCTACCTGTGTGTGTGTTCATGAACCTATATGTCTTCATCTACCACTGAAAATTACTTACTGTTAATTTGGTCCAGGGTTATAGTTTGCACCACCTTATTTGTCTTTGTAGAACACAGGGTGCCCAACCCAAAGACGTTCACATCCTATTCTCTTAAATAATTGCTCAGGTCCGCAGTCGATGTGCTTTGACAGAAGAGACTTTTCCAATAGTTTTGTCTGCAGTGAATGTAACCAAGCACGTGTGTTGATTTTACTGGAGTAAAGAAATGTCCCTTGCTGTTAAACCAACATCTGAGCGATGCAATCAGTTTGGGAAACTTTGGCTCACTGTATATGTGTTTGAATTTGCAAAAGGGGTGTTGAGAGATAATAAAAACTTTTAATATTACAAGATAAAGGTACCCGATAAGTGATATCTTGTTTGGAAATTGTAAATGATGCGTTTCATCGTTTTCAGTTTTACCACAAGCTGTAACATGGACTTCCTGTGAGAGACCACCACCCTGCCCTTAACCCTCCTCCCATCACTGTGAAGCATGAATGGCTTAATTTTACAGAACGCTCTACAGAATTAGCACAATTTTTCAAATAGTTTTTTCACAAGTATATTTTTAGCAGAAAAAAAGTGGAGCTCTGTTATGCATTCAGTTAGTATTGATACAATTCTGGTTTAAGTGTTTAACACACATTGACAGCAAAACTTTTGATTAAACCTGTTCTCACGCTCTGGAAAAATTAATCATTTAAAAGATGATATTGCCTCTTTTCATTTTCACATTTGAGAATGTGCCCTTGCTATATTAATAATTATTTACACATCTTTCTCTAATTGTCATAGTCTTCTATCAGTGAGGACTTTGTATTGGAAATTACATGCAAACAATGATTACATAAAAAGCTAAAAATGATCAGTATTGTCCTACTTTAATAAAAACAAAAGTGTTTGATTGGGAACAGTCACACCATTGTGATTTGTCTCAGAGATCTGGGTCTTCAATTGATATCAATGCTGTTGTGGTTGTTACTGTTGTTGTTGTTGTTGTTGTTAGGTGCCATTAAGTCAGATCTGACCCATAGCAACACTCTGCACAATAGAACCAAACACTGCACGGTCCTGTGCCATCCTCACAATTGTTGCTGTGCCTAGCCCATTGTGGCAGCCACTGTGCCAATCCATCTTGTCGAGGGGCTTCCTCTTTTTGGCCAACCCTCCACTTTACCAAGCATGACGCCCTTCTTTATCGAGGGACTAGTCTCTCCCAACAACCCGTCCAAAGTGTGCAAGACAAAATCATGTCATCCTTGCCTATGAAGAACACTCTGGCCTACTTCTTCCAATCCAGATCCGTTTGTCCATTCAGTATTTCACAGCACTTTCTACATTCTTCTCCAGCACCGCAATTCCAAGGCAGCCTTCCTTGTTCAGTGCCCGCTTTTCACACGCCAACGGTGCGATGGAGAACGCCATGGCTTCGGTCAGGCACAGCTTAGCCCCCAAAGAAACATCCTTGCTCCTTGTGGATCCAAGTAAGAAAAAGTTCTTGACAACTTCCACCTTTACTCCATTTATCATGATGCTACCTATGGGTCCAGTTGTAAAGATTTTTACCTTCCTTACATTGAATTGTAATCCATACTGAGCGCTACAATCCTTGATCTTTATCAGCAAGTGCTTTAATTTCTCCTCACATTCCGCAAGAAAAGTGGTGTCATCTGCATATGACAGGTTGTTAATAAGCCTTCCTCCCATCCTGATGCCACACTCTTCTTCTTCTAGGGCAGCTTGGCGGATGATTGGCTCAGCATACAGATTGAACAAGTATGGTGAGAGGATACAATCCTGACATACATATTTCCTGATTTGAAGTCATGCAATATTGCCTTGTTCTGTTTGCAAAACTACGTCATGATCCATGTCCAAGTTCTGAATGAGTTCTGGATTCTCATTCTTCTCAAGGTTACCCAGTTATTATGGTCCACACATCCAATTGCCTTTGCATAGCAATGAAACACAAGGAAGCATCTTTCTAGTATTCTCTGCGTTGAGCTAACATCCATCTGACATCAGCAATGTCCTCTTCTGAATCTGCCTGAACTTGTGGAAATTTCCTGTCGATGTGCTGCTATAACCATTGTTAGGTGATCCTAAGTAAAATTATACGTATGGGCTTTATCAATGGTACCATTCTATGTGTAGTTGGAGCGTTCTGTGGGGTCACCTTTCTTTGGAATGCGTACAAAAACGGATCCTTTCTAGTCTGGTGGCCTGGTCTTCCAAATTTCTTAGAATAGACAAGTGAATGCTTCCAGTTGCTTCTTAGCATCCTGAAACTTTTCAATGGGTATTCTGTCAATTCCTGGAGCCTTGTTTTTGACTAATGCTTTCAGTGCAGCTTGAACTTCTTCCTTCAGCACCACTGGTTTTTAATCAAATGTTACCGCCTCAAATGGTGGACTGTCGAGTACTTCTTTCTGGTACAGTGACTCTGTATTCTTCCCACCTGCTCTTGATACTTCCTGCATCATTCAATATTTTGCCGATAGAATCTTTCAAAATTGCAATTAGAGGCTTGCATTTTTGTTGTTCTAAGTCTAGGTCCTCGCACGTTTCACTGGGCACACCATCACAGCAATGGTGAGGGTGGCACAGGGCCGGGCACGGGTTCCCTCTCCTATGCACAGGGTGGCTCTGAGTCGGAACGCACTCACTGACACTCAACAACAACTCTTCCAGGAACTCTGCGGTGAGTTTGAAGAATGTGGATGTCATTTTTTCCAAAAGAAAAGTGAGAAACTAGTTTTATTAAGATAAAGAAATGCAAATATTTTTAATTAGAAAATAATACTATTAGTTCAGTAACAACTTTATCATTTGAGAAGAAATGAATACCTCCTTTTTTCCCCTTATAGGTGAAAAACACAAACTTATTGTTCAGCAAAACACTACAAGGCAAGGGTCCAACCTATTTTGTGACTCCTACCTACCCATTGTGACCCTTTAGAGCAGGGTACAACTGCATGTGTGGGTTTCAGAGATTATAAATCTTTATGGGAATAGAAAACCTTGTCTTTTCCTGCAGAGTAGCTGCTGGCTTGGAACTGCTGGATTTGCAGTTAGCAGCCCAGTATGTACTAAGATTAATCATCATTTTTTAAAAGTTTGGAGCTTCTAGGAAAGAGTAAATCTGATAGAGGTCCCGGGAGAGGAGCTATTTCCCACCCTTTTCCAAAGTCTAGACTGTGGCCCTCTATAGGGTCACGATGAGTCAGACTCTACTTGATGGCGATGGTTTAGAGTTGCTGTTCTTCAATTGTTTCACTTCAAGTCAGCAGCCTCTCAACTCTCTCTGCGTCTGCCTTCATGTTGCCTTCTCTGTTACAAAGAAGCTTGTGATCACTTGGTTTCTCTCAGTGGACCCACAATCATCTCTCCATTTCAAAACCCTTGGTAGATTCATGCCTGCGATGTCCTTTTTGCCATATAAGCTTCTAAAGTTACAGTTTCCAATGGCTTTCACAGTCGAGATTGGAGAGTCATTTGTTCAGCATGTCACGGTCCTCTAATGGTTGCAGTTTGGTCTGTCACCCCTGAATCTCGCCTCCCTACACAATTTGTCATTCATTCAATCCTGGGACCGTACCCTGGTAGAAAAAGGTACACAGTGCTACCAAAAATAAATAAATAAAGGTGAGGGGTGTAAATCTGATCGAGGTTAGATGTAAAGGGTTTTAAATTGTATTTTATGGACTTCTTAGGATAGAAACCATTTCTTATGCATTGTGATTCTCTAAAATGCCTAAAAGAATTCTATAAGCAGAGGAGGTGCTCAATATTTACTTACTAACAGGATGCAATTAGGGTTAAATGAAATTGGTAAGCCTACAGTGTCCTAAATTATGCCATACTTGATCCACATTTTATGCTTAAATGTTGTGATGCATTTCATTTTGCCATATACTTTCCATAATTTAGCCCTCTTGAAATCTACAATGGATATAAATAGATAAATTAGTATTAATTCTTCATGATAAATAGGCAGATTGTATGGAAGATAGGTTTCTGAATTATTTTTCTTTCAACATTATAAATGGTTATCATTCATCATTTATAGTAATTGAACAAACCAAAGGCGTACTGTGATATTTAAGGAGCAGTTTTCAAAAAACTTCCTATTTTTAAAGTCAAAGGCATTTTATTTCAGACTTTATTTTGCATTTGAGCTTTTCTGCCTTGTTTTTCACTTACATAATTTATTACTCACTTTTTAAAAAAAACAGTAGGAGCCCTGGTGGTGTAGTGGTTATGCATTGGGCTATGACCCACGTGGTTGTCAATTCAAAACAGCTCCTTGGGAGAAAGACGGCTTTCTACTCCCCTTAACAGTTACAGTTTTGGAAACCCACAGGAGGTCCGCTATGAGTCAGCATTGAATCAGTAGCAGTGAGTTTGGAGTTTAATTTTAAAACAAGCTATCCCTCTATTTTTAAATGTTGTTAAAGTTTTTATTGTGATTTGCATGAAAGTGTACAGAGCAAATTGATCTTCCATTCAATAATCCTGACACATTTTAACTCACAGCATTGATTTCAGGACCCTCAATGGGACAGCTCTCTCCCCACTTCTGCCCTGTGTTTCTCGTTCTCAACGGTCTGTTTCTCCCATCCCTTCCTGTCTTCTGAGCTTATTCTGCCTGCTGCCCTTTGACCTAACTTGTTTGGATGTATATTAAAATAATTTTGACACATAGAATTATTGAGAAGATAATACAGAGTTGAACATGCCCCACGTTCAGTTTTCCCTTTAAAATGTACATTTGTCACAATTAATGAACCAATAATGATATATTCTTATTAAAGTCCAGTATGCTTTAGGAAGCGCCTTAGTGGCATAGTGGGTTACATGTTGGGCTGTTAACCTGTGTTAGGACGGGTTGATTAGAGAAACAAATCCACTGACATTCATAAGTGTATGAAAGATCTTTATATCAAGAAGTAATTTTTTTTCAAGAAAACATCTCGTTGTAGTCTAACTCAAGTCTGATACTAGTCTATAAGTCCTTCTTCAGACTCATGGATCCACATGCAATGATACAGAATTCAGGAAAACCACAGGCTGGTGGCTGCAGAGTCATGTTGATCCAATGGCGCAGTTCCTCACAGTGCTCTGGCAGCAGTCAGGGTCAGCAAGCAGGAAGGTGAAGGCAGAGAGAGAAGGGGAGGCTCACAGGACCCACTTTTTGAGAAGGCCACACCCACAGGCAGTGACCTGACTGACAGGCTAAACTCCACCCCTACACTTTTATATTTATCTTCAAATTGAAATGCAATTATGTAACTACCACATAACCTCAAGGTCAGCAGTTCAAAACCACAAGCCACTTCATAGGTGGAAGAGGAAGCTTTCAACTCCTGTAAATAGTTGCAGTCTCCAAAACCCACAGGGGGTGTTCTAGCCCAGTCCTATATGTGAAAATACCCAAGCCATGCTATTTTCAATCACCTGATAGTCTGTGAAAGTTGTATATGGAAAACGGACAACTCAGAAAGAATCGAGGCATTTCAACCATGGTGCTGATGAAGAATATTGAACTTCCCTTGAACTCTCAAAGGAACAAACCACTCTGACTTGGAAGAAGTACAGCCGAGAGGCTCTTAGAGGCAACGACTTTGTCTCACATCGTTGGGACAAGTTTTTAGCAGAGACCTGTTCCTGGAGAAGGACATCATGCTCGAGGGGAATGAAAAAGAGCAAGGCCCTTGAGAATATTGATTGGCATCATCGAGGCTGCAACAACAGTGAGGACAACTCAGGACCAGGCAGTGCTTCATTCTGTCGTGCACAGGATCGCTATGATTGAACAGACTAAGTAGCATCTAACAAAACAGGATAGTTTAGTCAGATGTCCTCAGTTTTATCTGCTGTCCATTTTCTATTGTAAATCATGTTCAGGATGCCACATTCTATTTAGTCACCGGTCCTCTTTGATACCACTTCGTGGAGACAGTTTCTCAACTTTTGGTATTCTTGGCAGTTTTGAAGAATATTGTTTCTGTATTTTATAGAGCATGCCTCCCTTGTGATTTGCTCATTTTTCCTCATGACTAGACATGGGCAATGTGTCTTTGCAGGAGCCCTGGTGATGCAGTGGGTTAAGCTTGCGGCTGCTAACTGAAAGGTCAACAGCTCAAGCCCACTGACCATTTCATGGGAGAAAGGTGAGGCCGCCTATGCCAATAAAACTACATCACTGCAGAAGCTCCAGGGAGTAATTCTACTTTGCCTGATAGGACTGCTCCTTTGTTCTATGGGGTCTACTATGTCACACAAGGTCCTATAAGTTCACTCAGTCCTATAGGATCATTTTTCCTTATTAGGTCTAGTCAGATCAACTTAGTTAAGTCCCTTTGCTTAATTACTTAGTTCAGGTGTACTTGCATAGGGGTTGTTAAGCAATAGCCCTGTGGGAA